TTTTATTTTGAAAAACAAACGAATGAATGATACACAAATTCTCCCAGTCTAATCTGTGTCATTTGATTGTTCTGCATGTGTAACAACATATAAAGAATTAAAAACAAGGCCGTGCATGCAACAAACGCAGGATTCATAAAACAAGTGCACATCTTTGCAACACACACATCGAGCACAATCCAGTGTTGCAATATTATTCGTCGATTGTGCAGCGCTTTGATGAGGTTAGTCTGTGCCCAAGTTGTCAAAAGTATCAAAAAACAGACATTAATCAATACTAATATAACGTATCAATACAGTAAAAAAGTCACACTGACAAGACCGAAACATAAACTTTTCCTGAATGTCTTTAGAATGATCTTGAGCTGTATCAGAACAAGTTTAAGAGCACATACTAGTACATTGTTTCCCAAAGACTGGGTAGCGATCCTCACTTTTTCCTTGTTTAAAACTTGTGTACCGTATTTTCCGGACTATGAGGTGCACTTAAATCCCTTAATTTTCAGAAAAATTTACAGTGCACTTTATGTATTAATTCTGGTTGTGCTTACTGACTTCGAATCGATTTTCACACATATTCCAGTGAGTCGTGTTCTTTAGTCCAACAGAAGATGATGCTTATAGATTATGCAAATGAGCCATGTGGTTTTAAATTCTATTTCTGTAGAATGTAAACAAATGTGCGCAAAGATGCATTAAACACATTATTACTCAATGTATATTTGAGTCCTCCTCGTAGGAAATAAAAAAAGTCTCAAGTCTCAAGTGTCGTCCGTTTGTGTCGCTAAATGCGTCTTATGTATGAAAATAGACGAGAATTCAACATTCTTGATATTGTGCCTTATAATCCGGTGCACTTTATAGTCCAAAAAATACGGTAATACTAATTGTGCAGAGAGACACGTTAGGCTACGTTCAGACTGCAGGGCTTAACGCTCAATTCTGATTTTTTTGTGAAATCCGATGTGTTTGCGAGGTCGTTCACATTTCCAATTAAATGTGACTTGTATTTGATCTTCAGTGTGAACATTAAACGGCCCAAAAGTGTCCCGCATGTGCACTGGAGACATGACGACGTCAACCGCAGCGAGCGTCTCTGTGTTTACAGAAGTTGTCCAAACATGGACGCAGCATTGAGCAACTGGAGATTTTAAAGTTCCTCTCGTACCAGAGCCAGAACATGAACAACTTACTTGTTTTAAGGAGGAGACTGAGAAGGAGAAGGACGAGGTTTTTGGCCGTGGTGTTTTGTGGGACAGCGGCAGCGACGTCCGTTGAAAGGAACGTGTGGATGTGGAGACGGAGCCAAGAGTGGTGATGTGTTTCACTTCAGTGACATGGAGTTCATTAACAATTTTCACCTACTTCAGCGCAGAATAGTGACGTTTGTGGCTTGTTGATAACGTGTAGGTGGATGAATGCACTTTGGCCGTTCAGACTGAAGTCACATGTCAAAAGATCAGATATGTATCAGTTTTAGGAGCACATATCCAATTGGTCTGGGTCACATTTGAAAAAATTGGATCTGTGTCGTTCAGACTGTCATTAAAAGATCAGATACAGGTCATATAGGGGCCAAAAAATCGGATTTGGGTCACTTCAGGCTGCAGTCTGAACATTGCCTTAGAGATCACTCTGTCAACAATAAAATAGCCTTATAAATGTTCAATAATGGTCACAAATTTATTTTGTGATTTACAAATAATGTCTATTGACTTGGGTTGCCAAGATTTGTGACTTTTAAAATATGGGTCCCCAGAAAAAAGGTTTGGGAAACACTGGACTAGTAGACACCGATGGACCACTATGGAACCTACCTGGACCACTGAGGGATTACATAGAAAAGTACTACCATTTAATGCTGAAAATTAAATTCTATTGTCAAAATAAAGAGTCTTTTTAATTAGCATTGTGGTACTGGTAATGAGTGTCAAGTCTATTCTTTAGTATCGTAATCGAGTTTGAAATGTTCGTTTTGTGAGATAAGTCTGCGTGCCATTGACCGCGTGTGTCATTAACCAACCACTTAAGTGCCTTTTTACGAGATCCAGACACATTAAAAAAGTTCAAAGACAAAATTCACAAAGACAGAATCACACGAAGCGCAAGCACAACAAGCTCAGAGCCAGAGTCCACAGCACTCCACAGAGCACAGTCCTACACAGACCAACCAACCCCAGAGAGCGTGAGAGCGACGCGCGTCGGGCAGCGGAGACGAGCGGGCCGCCATTTTGGATATCTGGACACGAGCCGAGAACTCTGGGTAAAGAGATGAACGGTCAGAGAGAAGAAGACAGAGAGAGAAGAAACAGGAAGAGGAACTGACAAGGGTTTGTGTGGAAAATATCTCAAATAAGAGATGGATTTTGCTGGTACCTGAGCTTATCGATGGGTTTAAGGGTGATCATTAGCACTGTTGCCATAGCAATTAACAATTCACAATAACATATAATATCTTTGGAAAGTCCTAAAACTGGTGCAGACACATGGAGAATAGGTTCAGATGTCAAAGCACTGTAAGGAGCCTACAGTTTAATTACAGATACAAAATTATGTCATTAAATCTACTTAAAGGAACAGTATGTAACATTTCAGGTGCAGGATAAACACCACCTGCTTGTTATGGAGATGTTATTGCTTTACATGCATCTTTCACAGTATCATATTTTTCGGGCTATAAGTCACACTTTTTCATGGTTTGGGTTAGGGATGGGCATTCGGTGAAATTTTCTTAATGGATCGTCGGAAGAATTAACGATCGATTATCGATTAATCATTAACGTTTTTATATTAAAATGATCATCATTATTATTACTATCTGCATTACTAATCTGCATAAATAAATTCAACTTTACGACAAATAAACTGTAACCACTCTAGAGCCACATCAGCCCGTTTGACATTATAATGTGTTTAATTCAGTTTTGCTCAACTCTCACAGAAACAAAACTTAAAACCGCATCGCTAATTTGCATAAACTCAGCGAAGATAAAACTACAGCTCTTGTGTCGCTGATGCGGTCAATTTCTGTCGGATTAAAAAACATGTCTCAGGTGAATACAGGTTAGTGTGACCAGATTTGCGTTTGTCAAAACCAGGACACCGTACGGGGGGAGGGAGGTGGGGACTCATCGTCGACATTGTGCTACTCGCACCTGGTAAAGCTTTTTCCCACTGGACACCGAAACATATGTGCTGCTTTATACACTGTGCACATGGACTCACACTTGTCCCGAACACAACGGAAAGTGTGGAATTTCTTGTACAAATCATCGTTAAATACACATTTGTGCTTTGGTATATTTCAGACTGACCGAATGTTTCTGTTTGTGTCTCGCTCCTTCTGAGTGCAGAGACACATGTACACACCTGTTTGGTCACACTACACACAGCAACCTACATTCGGTTTGTCGATTAAAATCAACGTAATCGATGAAATTCTTAATGATCAATTATCGATTAATCGATTAATCATGCCCATCCCTAATGGAAACAGCTGGTGTCAGGTCCAGGACACAGAGACACATCACTTCCTGCATTTCCATGGAGTTTATTACATTTGGATTCAGACATTTGGCCTGAAAAAAACGTGAAAATAAAAATAGCAAGGGATGCGCAATTATACAGACCAAGATGCGTAATTTTTAATTTTCCATTTATTTGAGAAATAACTGCACTTCGAGTGGCTTTTTCAATTGTTACAAACACATCGACCATTTTGACTCACTACACTCTTTGGCAAAGTTTGGCCCAATCAAATGGCAAAAAAAATGGGTGGAGCTCATGTGTTTGGTGGGAAACAAAGTTCCTGTTCTCAATCTTTTATGGTTGGAAAGTTATACGCGGTTATATAAAACATATTCTCTGGTACCATATATGATACCATCAGTCTGGAAGGGTTTTAAGTTATTTGTCTCCATGGAGACGAGTAACAGATCTGTGGAGCGGTGACCCCACTCTCAGTAAGAATGCATGTTTCCAGTATTTTTTATTTAATTTTTTTTTCAATTAAAGGAACTGTATATACGCAGAATGAGTTCTATATCTGGGTTGGGCATGGGGTTCAATGCTGAAATCCGATCAGTTTAAACCTAAAATGCGTCTCTCTGATCTGAATGGTCACTACCTAAACCCCAGCACCTGCAGCCAGTCATGAGTCAGTGCTAGTGCAGCCTCTGCAGTTCAGGGAGGGAATTCTGAAGGTTCTGTCCATAAACTGAGAATGAGACAAACTTGGATGTGTCTCTATCTGCAGGTCAGAGCTCTAGCCTATTAGCCGCCCTAGGTGAGAATGATGTTGGTGCCCCTTTGCAAATATTACTCCCGTTTTTTTTGCCAGTGGACCAGAGATTCACTTTATAAAACAGACAGATTATTTGTCTGTAACACAGCGGATGCGGCACAAATTGAGAGCAGGAAGAGCCGCTATAAACTTGGCCGCAATGCTTCATGGCAAAGTGTTCTTTCGGTCTAGCTAGTGACATTCGTCATTTTCGGTCGGTGTATTCGGACCATGTATATAATTGAAATCGTTCTAAGTAAAAAGATTTGTAAACCTCATTTTACGAAGTCTTCACGGATCAAGCGTCATATGGAGCGTTTTTTTTTTTTGGGGGGGGGTGTCGGTTGGGTTTGTTAATATTTTGTTCGGCTTAGGCTCGTACAGGGGAGTGTTGCAATTGCACATTTTGGTCAGTGGAAATTCCAGATTAGGTAGGTAGGCTAAAGAAAATATAGTGACTGCTACAACTAGATGGCGCCACAGACACATGTGGCACCCTAGGCAGGCACCTTACCTGCGCTGGGCCTGCTGTATTTTGAGGCTCTTGCAACCCAGGTTCAGTTGTGATTGTAGTACCTTGTTTAAAAAATTGCAGGCTACATACAGTTCTTTTAAAAACTTCTAATTGATAGATAATATTTTTGACAGATAGAGACAAGCAGGTAGTGGATCCCCCACCAGAAACGTTACATAACCTAACCTTTAAAATGGTCTTTACCTGCCACTCTTTGCTTCACCAGTCCCTCCACGTTGAAGACCTCCTCGGGCTCCGTCTCTCTCGCCTGCAGTGACGCCGAACCGTCACTAGGGGGCTCTGCGACCTCAGCCGGCTTGGACACGCTCGACAGATATCCCTTCTCCACTTCCTGTATCTGCCTCGGCTCTGGCGTACTCCGTTTTCCTGGCGTTACCTCCGAACTCACCGGAAAACTGCTGCTTTGACTCCCTGCATCTGCTTTGAAACTCGGTCGGGATTGCATTTGCACAAAGGACGGTTGCGCGGTGACGACGTTTTGCACCGGAACACTTTGAGATTTCGGCATGGCGTTCCCAGGCTCCAGATCCAGCATGAGCATGTTTAGCGTCTGGATGGACTGTTCGATTTCTTGCTGCGATGCAGAGCTACGGTGCGGGAACTGCGGTAAACTGTGGCTATGACTCGGCATCGCCATATTAGACGGGCTGAAGATAATTCCATCGGTAACTGGCTCTTCCGTGACGCCAAATTTCTGCCAAACATTTAACCCACGCTGCACCGCCTCCTTGCTACTCGTGGTCCGCGCTGGGGCTTGCGGTTGCGCTTTCGTGTCCGCTCCGTAAGACTGCGATCTGTACATATTCCCGTTTTGCGTCACCATGTAGTCGCCAGCGGACGGCAGAATCTCGCTGGGCTTTTCCGGCGCAGTCCGTTCCAAATACATAACGTGGTCTTGCCCGTTGACGCCGCTCTCCGATTGGTAGTACAATTCCGCCGGAGTTGCGCGATCTTCCAAGGAGGAAAAGGTCCCAAGGCTGTCCACGCTGTTTCCTTCTTGACTCGTTGGCAGTTCGTCATCCAAAATATCGGTTTCACGGTCTATCCCGATGGTCCCGTGTCCGTTTACGTGGATTTGCGCCGGGACAAGGTGTAACATAGCGCCGCTGTTCGCATTCGCCGTCGACAAATATGGCTGTCTGTGCATAGGCCCTTCCAACCCGCTCAGAAGCTGCTCTAACTCTTGCTTTTCCTGCGGGCTAATGGGGCGCTGGACCGGTGGAGCGGCGTTGGTTTCGTTCTGCTGGTTCACGGCGGAGACGGTAGGCAGCGCTGCGGTGTTTTCATCGGTGCGGTCGGTTTTGATGGAGGCCGTGGAGTTGCCCGAGTCGCTGCTGACGGAGAGGGCCTGGTCTACGGAGGGGAGAGCCGCAGAGGGGGGGATCCCGTTGGAGGTCACCGGGGGGTCGATGGAGTCTTTTTTGCGGACTTTGGCGTACAGGCTGCCGTCCAGTGGGCCCTGGGTGTGGATGACGTCTGCAAAAGAGACAGAAAGAGACAGATTAGGATGGTTGTAATGTAGTGTTGTAGTCGAGACCAAGACCTGTTTGAGACCACATGGACCCGAGACCAGGACAAGATCAAGACCTTTGAGAGTTGAGACTGAAACAAGACAAAGACTTTTAAAGTCTGAAACCAAGACAAAACTGAGCAATGGCACATCAAGACTAAATCAAGACCATCTTTGTCATTTTCTACATTGATTTGTATTTTACAGTTATTTTGGCATATATTATATATAAATCTATCTCAATTTTATCTGATTAATTTTCATTTAGGCCTAAAAAAAGCCAAGCAAACTGTACTGCACTTAAAGACTCGGTGCCCCTTTTTTGGACCCTGTACCCCTTTAAAAGAACTTCCTCTGGCACTTTACGGAAAACAACTTCAAAATGAATCAAGTGTGTTTTTTTCAAGTTCATAACATTTACAGTTACATTATCTTACTGGTTTTGTAGTGATATTTAGCAGCATTTGCACATTTACTGGCCGTAATAAAATATGATCACACTTGTCGAGTGTCAGACCTCGAGTCCAAGACAAGACTGAGTCCAACTGCCATCAAGATCGAGACAAGACCAAGTCCAACCACCATCAAGATCGAGACAAGACCAAGTCCAAATGTGCTTGAATTTGATGAGACCAAGACCGTAAGAAAGCGGTCTCGAGGCCGGTCTCGGGAGCAAGACCGGCCTTGAGTACTACAACATTATTGTAATGTAAGTATGGTTAAGTATGGGTATCATTTTGAGAAAATGAACCCGTACCCATTAAAGAGGCCGAAGTATGGCCTTTTGCACCAGTAGTGTCAGGAAGAAATTAGACACATGTACTACAAATACACATTCAGTCTTGGGATACTGAAAACAATAGCTGGATCGGATATTGGCTTCTAAATATTGGTTCATCTGATATCCTGATTGGATATACACAATGATGTAATAAGATTATTTACTGGTCGTAGTTTGCTCAGAAAGTGTCACAATATTTGACATTTTATTTACACGAAGCTGTTTTGTAGTTACATGAGAGGTAAATAACAGCTACGGAACACATTTGGATCAGTTTTGTCTTATTTTATTTTAGTTTGAAAGGAAATAAACGTTTTTCTCAGTCTCTGTACTGTTATCGGCTGATATCGGTTATCAAAAGATAATTGAAGCTATAGTATCGGAATTGGTATCTGAACGGAAAAAGCTGGATCAGTGCGTCCCTGATTCAGTGTTAGAGAATTTTCATTTCTGTTCTGTACTGAGGGCTCTCTGCCGGCTCAGTCCTTGTTATTTTTTCATACATCATCAAAGGTATAATACTCCCTACAACAGAAGCATAGCCAGACTGAACTGCACAAGACTGGACTGTCCTGAGGGTTCATGTTTCCGTGCAGGGTCCTTTACTGATGCAAATAAAGTCGCACGTTAGTAACTGCACAAGAAATGTAATATTTTTTGGGCTGATATATAGGACCGATTTTGATCTATGCATTTAAATTCAGTACAAACTTTGCATTTTTACTTCAACCCTTTAAGAATGCTGTTTATAACATTTAGCGCTGTTTACATTAAAGTGTTGATATAAAGTTTTGTGTGCATTTTTAGGCAGCAGATCAACCAAAACAAAAAATCGACCTGTGCCAACATTTAAGGCCAAAAACCGATACACAAAAAGGTCAAAATATCTGCCTTGATATATCAGTTTATCTCTAGTTAGAACTCCAGAACTCCAGTAGTTTATTCTACAAAATTCAGAATGATGATTGATTCGATGATAATGAATTTTAGTACAGTTACTACAGTTTCATTCAGTCATTTCATTTTACTAAAATCAAAGGAATACATGTCAGTATTTCATCGTACACTGTGCACCATATGGACTAACCCAGGTCACTGAAAGCAAAGTTCGCAATTGTTTTCTCACAATTGCTGAATAATGCTTGTCTAAAATAAAAATGAAGATATAATTAGAGACAGACCGATAAGTATATTTGTTATTTTTAGCGTATCAGCTATTACAGTGTTCCCCAAACTGTTTTTCTAGGGAATCACAAATCTTAGCGACCCAAGTCAATAAACATTATTCGTAAATCATGAAACAAAGTTGTGACCATTATTGAACATTAATGAGGATATTTTATTGCTGACTGAGTGATCTCTGAGTGTCTCTGTGAACAATTAGTATTACCATATTTTTCAGACTGTAAGGTGCACCAGATTAAAAATAAGTGAAACAAATGGACTACACTTTAGACTTGACACTTTTTTAATTTCCTACGAAAAGAACTCAAATATGCATTGAGTAATAATGTGTTTAATGCAGCTTTGCGCACATTTGTTTACGTTTTACAGAAACAAAACTTAAACCACATGGCTCATTTGCATAAACTATAAGCACTAAAAAAAAAAAAAACAGCTTGCTCCTTGTGCGCTGATGCGGTTCAGTTTCTGTTGAACTAAAGAACACAACACAGTGGAATATATGTGAAAATCGGTTCGCGGTCACTGAGCGTAACCAGAATTAATACATGAGGCGCACCGGATTATAAGGAGCACTGTTGATTTTTTCCAAAAATTAAGGGATTTTAAATGCGCCTTATGATTCAAAAAATACGGTACTCAAGTTTTAAACAAGGAAAAACGGTAATCTTTGTTTCCCACAGAAAGTTGGTTAGGCAAGGTAGTACTGGCGAAAAAAAGGGGGTTGCACAGAGATGTATGTATATGTACAATGCAGACCTACGTAATTGTGATAAGGTGATCCCCCCCCCAAAAAAAAAATCTCTTGCAACCCACTCTTTGGGAAACAATGAGCTATTGGCTTTTAAATCTCCAGAAGAGGCCGACATTTGGCCCAACCAGCTGTTTAAACGTGCTTGAAAATACACGCATAAAGCTTTATTTGAACACTTGAATCTAAAGAGGGTACTCCAAAAACGCGACCACACTTTCTCTACACAGTTTATTGTAAAATGAGGTTATGGATGAGTTTGTACTGAATTCGAAGTAGATTTTTATTATTTTTTTTCAATTTGACCAAAATGACCAAAATCGACCCTACGTATTGTCCAAAAAATATCGGCAGAGGTCATCGGCCATTGGTTCCTCTGGATTCCAAACAATCGGTATCGGTATCAGCCATGAAAAAACACATATTGGTCGATCTCTAGAAACAATATTACTAAACATTTAATAGAATATAAATGTTGGGGAACTAGATCTAAGTAGGAACAAGTCCATTAGCACTTTTAAAACAATACCTGAGAAAGATGACCTGAAGACAACCAACGCACTCTCTGAACTTTAGTGTATTATATAGATTCACAGTTTGAGCTTATTTCCAAACAGCTGTTGTTGAATGAATCTCTGGCTCCTTTTCCCACTGCAGGAAATGAACCGAATCTGAGGCAAGTGAAACACCAGCGAGTCCACAGGCCGCTACTCACTCCGGAGCGGCTCAGTCCAACTCTCACACTACATAAACCTCCAGGCCAACATGTCACAGACGAAAACACGGGATTCTAATGTCATGTTAAATCTACGTCCTGGTGGAGGAAGAAATACGCTTAAAACGCCCCGTTCCATCTCAAATCGATATACTTCTGAGGCTTTGTTAGACTTTAATCTAAGCTTTAGTTTTAGCAGTTTTTCAGTTAGTCACTCTCATGTTTTTGTTGAAAATCAAACTCCTAAACAGGACCACGGAAGCTCGGACTGATCGCAGGCTCCGAAAATGTGCTCTTTAAATTCATTTTGTATATTTTCTTGAGTTTTCCAAACTATCTAATCAACACCGTTTATTCAGAAAGTGCTCCTCTGTGTTTTTAAAGTCCATTCACCTAAAACTTTCTAGCAAGTGATTATGATTATTATGCGTGCTTGGAACAAAACTGAAACTGGTCCATGAAGTGAAGTATCTCGGAGTTCCATTGGATCCACAACTGACTACCTTTCAAACAGTGAATAAAATCAACTATAACTGATCAAATTTGTCATATAAGGAATAATCTAACAACAAACTCTGCAATTATGTGTTTAAATTCAATTATTTTGCCGCACCTAAATTACTGCACTACTAGTTGGACTCTGACAAGCAAAACTCCTCTTAAAATAGCTGAAACTATCTACAAAAAAACACTTAAAATATTAGACAAAAAGCCACAATTTATCACTATTGCAGAATACTTGGCAAGTACATATTTCTTAATTGGGACAACACAATCAAATATGCAGGTAAATTCTGGTATTCTGGTAAAGAAAGTTTTTAATAATCTTGCTCCACCTCGTCAAAAGGAGTTTGTGAAAAGAAATTCAAATCGTACAACAAGAGCAGCGCTAAAGGTGACTGCTCTGTGCCGTTTAGGAAAAGTGCTTTTGGACAAACTCTTTCACTTATCGAGCAGCTCAAACATGAAACACAGAGCAGCTCATGTACGAGGACTTTCAACACTGGCAGCATTTTCTAAAACTTTAAAACATGATGTTCAATGGCCAAATATGTCTCCATGTTTAACCAAATTACATATATTTTTTTTAATATTGAGGGTTGGTTTAACTGTTTAACTCTTGACTTCGAACTTCAAATGAACGGTCTGAAATGACTTGTGTGTACAGTGAGTATATGATGAGTGTGTTGTGTGTATTGAGAGTGTGCTGGTGTTGTGTACTTTTGTGTGATTGTTGATTGGTGTTGTTTTCTCTATCCTGTAGATGATTTCACATCAACCTGTCGAGGGACTGAAGATGGAAATCAGCCACGTTGGCTATAATAGTTACATATTTACATTTTAAATGTTCATTAATATGTGCTGTCCTTTTACAAATAAATAAATAGGAAGTTAAAATATACAATAAACAATCTATTAGCATTCAAATTAATTCAAGTTGGTGGCCATAGCAGCTTGTCAAAGCCTCATCATGTCAGATGTCAGAAGCTCAGCAGAGCCGGGCCTGGTTAGTTCTTCACTTCCACTGGGAAAATCA